CCATTAGTTCTAGCCTCTCATTGTCATGTTCATGCTTGGTGTGATGTTCCGGTTGATCTTTCCTCTATGTGCATGTGCTTTTCCACTAGTTCTAGTTTCTCATTGTCATGTTCATGTGTGTTGTGATGTTCCGGATCTTACTTAGATGATCTCTTCTCTACGTGCATGTGCTTTTCCACTAGTTCTAGCTTCTCATTGTCATGTCCATGTGTGTTGTGATGTTTCGGATTTTACTTAGTTGATCTCTTCTCTATGTGCATGTGCTTTCCATCAGTTCTAGTTTCTCATTGTCATGTTCATGCTTGATGTAATGTTCCGGTTCTTACTTAGATGATCTCTTCCCTATGTGCATGTGCTTTCCACTAGTCTAGCTTCTAATTGTTATGTTCATGCTTGTTGAGATGTTCCGGTTCATACTTAGATGATCTCTTCCTTATGTGCATGTGTTTTCCACTAGTCTAGCTTCTCATTGTTATGTTCATGCTTGTTGAGATGTTCCGGTTCTTACTTAGATGATCTTTTATCTATATGCATGTTCTTTCCATCAGTTCTAGCTTTTCATTGACATGTTCATGCTTAAAGTGATGTTCTGGATCTTACTAGTTGATCTTTTGCCTATATGCATGTGCTTTCCATTAGTTCTAGCTTCGCATTGTCATGTTCATGCTTGATGTGATGATCCGGATCTTTCTTTGGTTGATCTCTTCTCTATGTGCATGTGCTTCCACGAGTTCTAACTCCTCGTTGTCATGTTTATATGTATTGTGAGGTTCCGGTTGCTACTTAGTTGATCTTTTACCCATGTGTATGTGCTTTCCACAAGATCTAGCGTCTCATTGTCATGTTCATGTGCCTCGTGATGGTCCGGTTCCTACTTAGTTGATCCTTCCTTTATATGTATGTGCTTTTCACTAGCCTAACTTCTCATTGTCGAGTTCATGTATGATGAAGTGTTCCAAGACATACTTATTCAATCTTTCACTATGGTTTGGGTGACCGACATTTGGTTGCTACTACGGGGAGCTGATTTGATTAGGATTAAAAGTTCTTCCTTTCTCCTTCTCTCTCTCTCTCTCTCTCTCTCTCTCTCTCTCTCTCTCTCTCTCTCTCTCTCTCTCTCTCTCTCTCTCTCTCCCTTTATCTTCCTTCCACTTCTCTTTTTCCCTCCTCCGCTTTGTCGTCTCCCTCCCTCTTTCTTCCCCTCACTTGGCATATGACTAACCTTCTCCCCTCACTTGGTACATTGCCAGGGTGCGAACGGTAAGAAGAGATCAGACCTCACTTGGTGGAGAAAGAGGACAAGGGGAGGGCAACCGGTCCCTTGTGCCACCAAGAAGGCAAAGAAAAAGGGCGTTGGGAAAGTGAGAAAGGACGAGATCCGGAGAAAGTAAAATTTTAAGCGAGGTCGGTTTGACTCAACCATTCCCCCGACTGCATGACTATGAGAAGAGAATGGGCTGAATTGAGCAACGAAAGGGAACGAAGAGCAGCCAAAGAGCTTGAAAAGATAGGCATGAGGGAAGGGCTATATGTTGACTCCCAACGGGGGATTGTATGGATTTTTGCCTTGTGTGGGACTGTGCAGGTGAGTGATGGCAAAGGATGCCTTGAGCGGGATAGGGCCGAGAGGAACTGGGTATCAAGAGGGAAAGAGGGACAAAGGGGCTATGGAACCCTTAGCATAAAGCCAGTCATGGAAATGACCTTTGTGTTTGAAATCGGGAGTGTGAATGAAGTACAATCTTGCTAAGGGAAATGTGATATTGTGTGTGCATGCATATAAAGGCCCCGAAAAGACTAAGGGGCCTGCCTCAATGGAGTTGAAAGAGATGTATGAGGCCAATCGGTGCGTAGAAGCGAGGGGGAGGACGACTTCGCCGCACCCCAATGACGCCATAGGAACACAAGGTTTAGGGAAATGGTGCGCGGCCTAAGAACGACGCTTAGCCTGCTCACAAAAGGAAGAAAACTCTCAAAGAGCCCCCTGGACTGCCTGTGTATTGGAAGGAGCAATTGCTTGAGAACACAACAAAGAATAATAAAAAATCAGCGCAACGGAATGACCAGCGAGACTACCACCCGGCGTGAGGGCTGAGCTACATCCCCAATGTCAAAGCTCTCTCGCGCAATGGCCCACCCCCATCCATCTCAAAGCACTAGGTGGGGGTGACCTCGGGACGAATGGCCTCATGATCAGGCAGGCCGAGCCAAATGGGACCCGCAGTAGGGTCGACTAAGGCTCGAAAGTCTACCGGGGTTTGGCCCTACAAAAATGGTGGAGGTGCCGGGCAAGGGTTAAACTGACCGTTGCGATTTCGACGGGGGCGCCCGACGCGTTGACGTGTACATAACCCAAGATAAGGAAAATGGACTTGTGTTTGCTCTTTCCCTTGTGAGAAATCAGACTTGAGGGTGGCTGGGCGCATGGCATGACCAGGCCTGGAGGTATAACATGCATGCTTTGCACTTGATCAGCCGTTCCCCTGTGGGATGGCTCTAACCCTCCTTCGTCCGGTGCTGGTGCTCGCTAGATCGGGGAAGCCTTGGGCAAGTCGCAGGTCGACCCTTCCTCTTCGTATGAAAGAAGGGCTCCGGTTACCTGGCAGGCGGTTGGTGCTTCACTTAGGCTGGGTTCCAATGAAAATCCCGCGGCGGAGTGATCCGACCGACCGGGTGCCCTTCTACCTTCTTCTTTCAACCCAGTGGGCTCATGCACTTTGTACTTTTTGGAAATGCGTGAAGGAACCAACATGAACACAACGGGTCATAAAGAAGGAACAATCCCGCCCTATGAAAGGACAGGCAAATGAAGAGAAAGGGAATGAAGGGAGTTGCTAGACTCCAAGGAAAACTAGCTCACCTTTGAAGACTCTCACGAGAAGGAACCAACCTCTGTGTATGAAGAAAGGGGGAGCGACACTCGTTGTTCTGAGAGAAAAATGTGAGTTATGGGTAGGAAGCGCTGGGAGCACCAAGGGAAAGGCACTTGTATTCTATGTGTCCCACTTGGGACTTGTGTTTGCATGAGGGGATTCGAGCGACCTGCCTTTCGGAAGGAAAGGATTGGTTTGCACCGGCCGGTGCGGGTTGCGAAACGTCGCTCTCCTTTTGTAGGTTGTCGTGTGTTCGTGTGTGGAGGTCAGACCACCGATCTGTCGGACGGGAGTTTGTCACGCCAGGTTGATTAGTAGCATTCTCGTTCGAGCGGTGACGAGCTTTGGCTCGATGATCTGCTGGGCGGGGTGCGAAACGTCTCCTTAGGCGGGGCTTAGCCTGTTGACTGGCGAGGGGAGTATCACTGCATGCGGACAAAGACGGAGCCTCAGAGACGATTAGTAGCTTCTCGTAGCATGGCTTGGGAAAGGCTGATTCTTGTCGGACCGATGGAAGTGAATGCCCGGACGGCTGACTTTTGTCCCTGTATTTAGGCACACGGGGTAACCCTCGGTATTGGTATGGATGTGCAAAAGCAGTAAGACGGGATGGGGTATTCTGGGTACAAGGAAATGTCTAGCGCCAGCCTGGGTACCGCGCTCGCGACGGTTGAGCTGCGCTTGAGGTATGGGATAAAACTCTACCGATAGTACCAGCGGAGAGACCATATTGGGGATGGCCGGTGAGGAGATGACCGGCCCGTATGTGAGATTGCCTGATTTTTTTGTGTTCCCCCCTCCGTAAAGATTAATTGAGCTTGGATTGTTGGACGGGCATATTCCTAAGTCTATTCCCCCTCCCCTCTAAGTCCACACAAGTGAGAGATGATCGGAAGGAAAGAGGATAGAGGTCAGTCGGAACGGAACCAAGAAAAGGAATGTGGGGAAATGGATGGCCGACCGAGGGTATTATGGAAGGGAGGTACTTAGGAAGGGAAGGTAAATTAGGGAGACCTTGATGAGGGGTCTGAAATAATTCTCATCTAGGACAAGGGTTAACCTGACCAGAAGGACCGGTTGATACTCTTTTATGAAAACAGGGGTCGGGTGCTGAAACAAGATGGCGCGATGGTTGCCTTCCCCGATCTATACCAGCGGCCCGGAAATGCCAGTAGATGTAAAGGATGGGGTATCGGTCGTCCTCCCGGAAGATGGGACGTGGACGGACCTTGAACCAACGTATCAAACGACAATGCTGGAAGGGGAAGACGCGTTCCTTTGGATAGAGACAGTGTGGACTAATGTCAGTTTGACAAGGTTGTCGCCAAGTTTAATGGATTTGGAATTCCGAGGGACAGTGGAAGCCCGGGGGTGGGTCTACTTGTCACATGATGGGGAGAATGCTATGGTCATAGAATTGGCACTCGGGAATACGCCGGACGAGCTGTTTAGGAAGGCAGAAGCGGAAGTTGTGTGGGCTGCGTGTCAGCGGAGGGAAATGGAAATGGAAAGAATAGACGTGCGGGTGGAACTTGGGGATAGAAGAAGCATGAGGCGACCCGTCAGGGCCATGCGATGTGTGCTGCCTCCCTTCCTGGTGGATGCGGTTTTCGGAACCCGAAGCAGGCTGGTACGGATATGCCAGTCCATGACGAACCTCGGACTATACCAGTGCGCTAGGCAAGACTTCTTTCGGTTGTCGGTGGAAATGGGGTCGTTTGAGGGGAATTGGGCGGACGAGCTGGCCGAGGTACTAAACTGCCTTAGTGTAGACGATGTTTTTGTCTCTAGCTTCGTGCATTGGGGGATAGTCTATAGAAATGTGGCAAAAGGGGAGACATTCCTGGAAGGGGTAAAAGGGTTGTTCTACGACGAGGAGGACGACTTCAGTGATGAGGACGAGGATGATGAGATAGAGGACTGGGACTTCTAAGGGGGGTGACTTAACTTGGGGAAAACGGGTGGCCTGGAATTGTGCAGGAAGGGGAGAGATGAATAGAGAGGAAAGGATGACGGAATACACCTTCAAGGGATGAGAACCAAGGCGACTCGGAGGAGGAATATAAATGCCTATACCAACAGAGAACGAATGGAGGGGGGCAACGTGCGACTGGGTTGGGTTTGAGGTTGCCCGGGAATTATCATATGTATGGATAGAACGGATTTGGAACCCGATAAGGGAAGAGGAAGGTTGGGACGAGATAGCAGAGGGCAAAGTGGAGTCGGTCGGAACGATTGTCCTTTCCGAAGATGGGTGGCACCTAGGAAGATGGGTGGCACCTATTTTGCACTACGTTAGCAATGGGACAGGATCCAATGTGGCTTCTAGGGGATGCAGAGGCGCGAACCCGAAAAGAAGGCAAGAGGTTCGCCAACGAGGGGTGGGACGAAGTTAGTAGCAGAGTTGTGATGGGAGGATGGAGGGAACTCAAGCCTCCCTGCCTGCGCACAACAGCGTGGGTGCCCGACTTCGTGGCCGACTGGTTCGGGGGTTTTGACCACATAGCAGACGTGGCCGACTCCATGAGGGAAGTACACATAGAGTGTTCCTGGCTGACCGAGGAATTATATAGGGTCTCCTCAAAATATGGGCCTTTCTATGGCGATAAAGCCAGTGAGGTCATCACCGTCCTGAGGATAGGAAAGTTCGACCGCCTAGAGGTAGACGCGGAGGCGTGGGACGCCATAGTCAGCCGGGAGGCGGCGACCGCGCCATCGTAAGTGGGCGATGTCTTTACGCTGTTTGAGGTATTGTGGTTCGGTTAAAAGGACCCAAAAATCGAACGCCGCAGGTGGGTCGTAGTATGGAGGGTGTGTGTGAACTAGGATGTAGCATAAGAGAAGGAGGCGTGTACATTAGTTAGCAGGGGATGCGAGGGGGTTGAAACAAGGGGAGGTAGCAACACCAAAAGAAAAGGGGGGAAGAAGACTTGTACGTGTATGGGGCAGGAATGGCAGCAAGGACCGGTGTACGATAGGTAGGGAGTGCTGAAAGACTGAAGCACGAAAGGCATGGAATCTCGGTGGGTGCAGCAATCGGACTAAGGAAGCCGGAAAGGAGACATTGCAAGATGGCCCGGCGAATGACATTCTGGGAGGATAGGCCTCGCGGGATCCTACCACCAAGAGCATCAGGGGGCAGGGTCGAAATAAGCCTACCAGCAAGAAACGTGGTACGTAACCTGGTAATGGACTGGGTGGGGGAAGAATTGGTGGAAGACACGGTGTACCTAGTAGTAGAGCTGGAGTGGCGTGCGAGAAGAGAATTCGGAGGCATAAATTTGGAACTCCCAGGATGCGTGCATGCGACGGGAACCCTACACCTGTCGGAAGAAGGGTGGCGGACCTTTGGGATTGCCTTGGCTTCCGGGGATGACCCCGTGCGAATGTTCGAAGGAGTATGGCAAATAACCTGGCGGGAGGAGTTTGAGTTTGCGGATCCGGAACGAGATGACGTGACGGCTGAGGTAAAAGTCGTCGCGGCAGGGGTCTTTGAGTTGCCAAATAAGGTCGTACGTATGAGTCTACCACCCTTTCTACTAAGACGAATGGGAGGCGTAGAGCGAGTGGAGCAGGCGATAGCTGCCATAACTAGGCTAGATTTTGACGAAGCATTAATGTATCAGGAATATTACCGGGCCTTCCTAGAGATGGGGCCTTTTGAAGACGAACAGGGGCACGAGGTGCTTTGCATATTACGAGCAGCAGTAAATGCTAGGCCAGGAGTTCCGCAAATAAGTGATGAGGCCGTGTGGGGAATCATCCGGCGGGAAGTAGGTCGGGGCGCAACCTACATAGATGACCTTTACCGGCTGTACGAGCAGCCAGAGGAGGATGCTGCTCCCGGGGGTATGGAGGGATA